TCTTACTGGCTAGCTCTGACTTAAGTAATTACCCCATAATTGTTAATCTAAGTATGTCTCTTACTGGAGAATAGTTCCGGGCTTCCTACCCCATGGCGTTACATGTCGAACTCTGCTGTGTTTCTCCTTCCCAGAATCCTCCTCGACTCCTAGTCCCTCCTATCTAGATTCCTATTGGCCAACAGTGCTTTATTAACAAATGTACAGGACTTCCCCCATCATTGTGGTCTTGTTAGGAGTATGTCACTTTGGGGGCAGGCTTTGAGGTCTCATAAGCTCAAGCTGCACCCAATGTGGCATACAGTCTTCTGCTACCCGTGGATCAAGATGTAGAACTCTTAGTTCCTTCTCCAGCACCATGTCTGCCTGTACGCTGCCATGCTTCTCACCATGACAGTAATAGATTAAACCCCCAAAATTGTAAGGCAGCCCCCACTAAATGTTTTCCTTTATAAGGGTTGCCATGGCCATGGTGTCTCTTCACAGCAATACTCTAAGAGAGTTCCTCTTCTTCAAGTCACTTTTCACAGAAACGCCCACTATGATTATCTCATTAAAACTTGTGATCTACCCCAACTTGTTACTTCTTTTTGCTATTGTGCTTATTACTAATATGCCACACATTTACCTTAATATTTATTCCTCAAGGATGGGCATTCTTCACCATAACCCAGTGCCAGTTCAAGGCTTGTCATTTGCATGACTATCAATAAGAATTTGTTGTGTGACAACCAAGCGCTAAGATTGTGTTTTGGAAACAGGCCAACTGGATTTCTCACTACTTCATGTCATCTCAAGGTGTATACATTGAGCTTGAGGTTTTTCTGGGTGATTATTGGGGTATAGAAAAAAATTATATGAAATGCCATTGACAGTATAGTAGTGATTCCAAAAATGGACCAACTGAATTTTTAAAAGCAGATGAAATTTGCATGGTGTGCTGATGAAATGAAGACAGAGTCCTTTTCATTGCTACTTTGTTCCTTTCCTTTCTCCCCCATCTTAATCGCTCACTCTTTCCCTTCTTCTATGTATCTTTTTTATTCTGCACTCCCTCTCATCCTCTCTGCTTGTCATTTTACTTTTTATACTCCTCTGACCCCCTTTTTCCTCTCCTTAGCTTTCTCAAAGAACAAAGCAAATTGTGTTTTGGGAAGAATTTTAATTTCCAAGGTATAGGAAAAATTGAAATTGTCCCCTCTCCCGAGTTTCCCTTGAGCATCTGCACTTTAATGAAATAAATGGCCTGAAGGAAACTGGGATGTGTGGAGGTCAGGTGATGGGTCCATCATGTCTGGGTTCTCCGCCTCCCTCTGTTTGGAATCTGTGTCGCTAGGGGATGAATTGGGCCAGGAAGCTTGGCACTAACCCCTTGTCCCGTGTTACTTATGAAATAATTGACAGGTGAGCTCAGAGACCTTGAAGAAAATGGAGGAAGAAGGAGAAACTCCTCAGTATTGAATCATGAAGCTGGTACAAAAACGTAACTCTCTTCTTGAATGCCAAGTTTTATTTTCAAGAGGTGTTAGTTCAGGAACCTGATTTTCTCCCTCAATAAATTGATCCAAAACTGCTGTAGGTGATAGAACCAGGGAACCAGTTTTGATGTCTCATGTTGAACTACCAGATGGTAGTATTTGTTGAGCTGTTCTAGAGATGGTATGAAAATGACATGACTTGGATTTAGGTCACATTTAGGTTCAGCCTTGGTGCATATTTTTGCCTCTGGGACCTTGGGTATACTATGTGACTTCTTTGTGCCTTAGTTTCCATTTCTGCCAAGTGGAGATGACAGTATCTTCCTCACTGAGCTATTCTAAGAACTGCATCATAGCAATGACAATGATGCATTAGAATGATGCTGACCGTGGATGGATCTGGATGCTAAATCTATGTTATATGTGTTGTTAAATGTACTCACTGGAGGGCAATGTAGAAAATTGCTCATTATATGATGAACACCAGACACCTTACCATACAGTTTTGCTCATAAATAGATGTGTCTGAGCCAAATACTGGGATTGGATAAACTATCAGGAGGCTCATTCCTAGACAATATAAATTACCCTTCCCTTGGCAGCCACTGAGTGCCTGGAGTTCTTCATTTGGGTTGGAGTTTTGTGAAACGTCTTCTATCCCCATTGGCATGTTAATTAGTGTGGTTATTAGGCAGGTCTTGTTTAGGCAACCATATTATTTATATTTCATGTGTGTAGCATCCCAGTCATGTCTGGAAGATGGTATCTCACAGCAGCCTTTTAAGCAGCATTATCATCTAGCACTATATAAGAGGCTAAGAATTGGAGAACACGAACATGTAGAACACAGAAATATATAGGGTCATTTCTCTGTTGTGACACAGAGTTTCAGCTACCCTGAATGTACAAAGACAGCACCAAGATGTATCAAGATACAGAATGGAGGGCCCAACAAAATGGTTTAGGCTATCACTGGAGAAAGGAGTGACTTCCAAGCCTTAGTGCCTACCAAGCCAGGTAGTTTTCTCTTTCACACTGCCTGTCTAACAGAGGTCATCCTGAGGTTCTATTCATCTTGTTCGTCAGAGTCCTCTTCCATCATGGCTTCTGTTCTCACACTCACAAAACCTAGATAAGGGCTGGCTCTGTGGCCAGCTTAGATTGCTTGCTTAGCATTCCAGAAAGACCTGGGTTTGATCATTTAATGTAAATTATATTGGAAAATTGCCATGTGCTATATAGCTTGTTGAAGTAGACTCTTGAAACTCAGAAGACCCTCCATGTTTCCTCTAAAACCCCTGTGCTGGGCAGGCTTGGTCTCTGTCTATGAAATGGAGAAGAAAGACGAGCAAGAAAGTAAGGGTTTTAAACATATTGTGTCCTTGAAGGTAAACCATTTCTCACACAGGCTACCATCATTTACCTCACAGCATAGAAATATTTGCAGTGGAATAGGGAGTGGAAATCTCATGCAGAGCTAGAGAAATCATGCAGGGGCCCAGCTGACTTCTTCTGCTTCTCCAGCTGATTTTTGCTGGATATTTGTGAGACCTCAATTTGCTGTTGCCTTTGGTCTTTTTTCTCTCAGTCAGGCTGCTTCAGTCTTTTCTGTTGAATGTTGTAAACTCTTAATTTGATGATTTTTAAAATACGTTGCTTCTATTTATCTGTGGTGGTTTGATTATAAATGGCCCCTACAGACTCATATTAGAATGCCTGCTCATTAGGGGATGGTACTACTTGACAGTGATTAGGAGGTGTGGTTTCAAATGTTCAAACCAGACCCAGTGGCTCTCTCTTCCTGCTGCCTACCCTTCCGGATGTAGGCTTCTCAGTTACCTTGTCTGCCTAAGCAAGCCCCCAATTGAGCACTTTCCTTTATGAGAGTTAACATGGTCATAGTGTGTCTTCACAGCAATAGAGCACTGCCTAAAACTCATTCTATCTATCTATCTATCTATCTATCTATCTATCTATCTATCTATCATCTCTCTCTAACACTTGTTATTTATTCTTTTACTTCTAATTGTCATATACTTAGTACTCAATAAAAACCAGAAGCATGGTTATTACTGATCATTCTCCTGATTACACAGAAGAGATCCCCAGTACGACAAAAAACTGGACATGGTGACACATCCCTAAAACCCTAGCCTTCAGAAAGTAGAGGCAGGAGGATCAGGATTTTAAAAGCATCTTTAGTTACATAATGAGTTTGAGGGCAGTCTAGGTCACAAGAGACCCTGTCATAAAATGAAAATGAACCAAGCCTTCAGCTAGAACAAAAGGAACGCAATAGGGGTACAGCACTTAAATTCTTCTGTGAGAAGTAATACATGTTTATTATTTTTTTTTGCTCACATTTGCTGAACTAAAGCTGGCCACTTGGCCACATATCACTTGAATGTGACAGGGAAATGTTGTCCTTCATACACATATTCTAGACAGTTGACATGTCTGTGAGTAGCCTAGTAACTGTGAACCGTGGTGGCCACAGAAGGTCACACTCTGGGTAAGGGCCTCACTGAGATCCTGCTTGTAAAAAACAAACAGCAAGAGCTGCAATGAACTGGGTAACACACACACACACACACACACACACACACACACACACACACACACACGGCCAAGAAGGAAGGAAGGCCGTAATCTCCCTATTATGATGGAAACTGACGGTCATTTTCTAAAACTTACATGAATGAAGGAGAGCATGAGTATAATACATACAGTTCTTTTGAACTAATAAGAAAATCCTGCCCCCCCCCAAAAAAGAAAAGCAACAGGTCAGTAGGAGACAACAGACTTATTTCTAGTCTGCTTTCCTAACTTTTAAAGTCTGAAAACATGTCAGAGAGCAAATATATGCTGAGACACATCAGTATCAGTTGCTGGACAGTTCATGTCTTTCTGAAAGAGTAATACCACTGCTTAACAATGCCTGATCTGGATATAGCGAAGGGCAACGTGCGAACCAAGTATCTCTGCTGCCGTTTGTCTTCAGTGCTACTACCTGCAAAGCAAGGCAAACACATCCAGGAGCCTGACCAAGATGACTTCCAGATGCCCTCCAAGTGGGCCAGGGCTTCTGTTCCTAGCTGCAAATATTTCAGCTGGTTATGTGCATATCATGAAACTCTATTTGTATGTGTGAAAAGGGCTTGACTAAGCGAACCCAACGGATTGAATACTTGAAAAGTAAAAGTACTTTGCAGAGGGCAGAGCTGGAAACCTTTGACAGGAAAGCTAGATCATTTAGCACTTTGAGGTTCTATCAATCATCTGGGAGCTGGATGTGCCTCTTGGTTGAGGACTGGGTTTTGTTACCTGGGGTGATAACCTGGGAGGCATGACTGTCAACAAACAAACAAAAGCCAACCAGCCATATGTTATTGCTTTTGCTGGCAATTTGGGGAATGAAAACTGTATAAAACACACTGGGTACATCAATCAGGATTTCAGCCAGAAATGATGATATATTCAAGGAGATAATTCAAGTGGTTTTAATAGACATTCTCTTTACAGAGATTAGGTCAAGATGAAAGGCCAAGCAAGAGTGGCAAGACATTGGGGGACAAGCAACAGTGAGGGATCACTTCCACTCCTCGCCTGAAGACGTTTGCAGGAGACCTGTGAAGACTATCACCAAACATGGTTGGGCTTGCTGAGCTGAACTATGGCTGTGGGGACTCAGCTTTTCTCCTCTCAACTCTGGTATCCTGGCAGAGGGCTTGGAATCTGGCTACATAGACCTGGACACAGACTTCTGTGGTCACACAGCTAGACAGGGAAGCATAAATAATATCAGAGATGTCACCAGAGAACAGGGAGAGAGGGGAGCATTGGGCTACAGATACCACATTTATCTTGTTCTGGGTGGCACACATCACCAGCATTTAGAGGCCAATATTGTTTACATCTATTTTCTTTGATTTGAATTCTTTGGAATTGCATAGCTTCATTGTTAATTGTTTGTTTTTGTCAGTGATAAACTAAAGGCTTCTTTAACTTTGAGAAAAGTTTCTTGCAAACATGAACTTTTTCTCTTGAGGTAGAACAGAGGCAGCAGCTGTGAGGTAGCTAGTGGTCACTGTAGGGGACGTGGCTCTATGTCTTCATCTCTACAGAATGTTCTTTGGAATACATTGGCTAGGGACCTTGTGCACAGCCCAGGATGGTGAAGATTCAAAAGCTGCCTTCCTCTAGAGTAGTTTTTCTCAACTTGTGGATCATGATCCCTTTGGAGGTCTGCACATCAGATATCCTGTATAATCAGATATTTATATTATGATTCATGACAGTAGCAAAATTACAGTTATGAAGTAGTAATGAAAATAATTTTATGGTTGGATGTCACCACAACATGAGGAACAGTATTAAAGAGTCACAGCATTAGGAGGGGGTGAGAATCATGGTTCTAGAGCCCTCTCTCTGGGGGAATAGAGGTGTCCTAAGTGAATGTGTGTTGTTTGACATAAACATGTGCATGTCCCCTTGAAGGAGTCAGTGCCTCAGACCCACCAGAATGGTCTTTGTGCAAATGCTGACAAAAACTGTACAAAAAGTTTCAATTGCAGCTTCCTCCTGGATGTAAATAGCCTGAGACAGTTCTCTCATAAATGTTCTACTAAGACTAGTTAAACCCGCCACCTCCTTATTCAACTGTACACAGTAGTAGATCTGCCTCCTCGTTCAGCTGTATACAGTAAGCCTGTCACCCTAATTCAGATGTGTAAAAGAAATGGGCTGAGTTTCTGGGTCACTGTGCCTCCATCAGAGTGCTCAGCCCACCTGATCCCAGGGCTCTGTACATTTGTCTGTCCTTTCTTTATTCTCTGTTGTCTGATTTGTCCAATCACTGAGCCCCACAGAGCTCTTCTTGATGATGGAGGACATTAGCTGCATTCGTGCAGTTTTCTTGTACAGCAACAAAATAGAAATGATGTTGTTGATGAGGAGGAAGAGGAATAGGAAGAAGAGGAGCATCTATCTTTATTTAATAGATAACACGTGGTAAAGTTTGAAGTATACACATGCCATTTAATAGCCATCAAAATCCTGAGGAAAATACCACTATTATTTTCATGTTAACAATGTGGGAACAAGTTGAGAGAAACTGTAACCACATAATGATTAGGTCATACCAGATGAAATCGCCAATATTCAGTCATGTTTGATGAAAATGTCAACTTCATATGGTTCAACTTTGTGTGATATATTGCAGAATCGGCTTTAAAATCAAGAGTGAGCTCATGGTGACTAAGCTTTTGTGAGTGACCAATGAGACCTGTGTAAAGCAGCCGAAGTATCAAATAAAATACTGTCCCAGTGACTGGTGCACAGTGACGCTCACAAAATGTTCTTTTTGTGTGTGTATTAATTTCATTCTGCCTGTCATTCTTATTCCCTGGGGGAGGCAGTGCACAGATGTCTGAACAGATGTGGCCAGTGAGACAGGGAGGAAGTCTGTTGCTATTGACTAGATCCTAGGGACCTGGAAATTTCCAGCTTTGTCATAAGCGCCAACACTCCTGCCCCCTTGTACTCCTGTCTCTCAGGGAGTTTCTTCTGTCTTGCAATTCTGGAACAGTCTCTCATGCCCAGAGCAGAGGGAGGTGTTATGAACATTAGGTCTTCCCTGGTCTCTATGCCCCTTGATAGTCCAGAAGGTTCGCTTCATTAGCAGATGTGTCCCTTGACTTGAAGGGCACAGGGCTGGGGTGGGTAAAAGGGTGACTGCCTTGCTGATTGCATTAGGTGGATATATGAGTTGACTTAGTTCACAAGATTACTTCTGGCAAGGAGACTGATTCAAAAGCTCTCTGCTTTTTAGTTGGCGAGAGGGAAGAGCCAATTCCCTGGTGGAAGTGCATTCTGTTTGGGTGTGGTTTAAGGACTTGGAGGTGACTACATGAAGAAACTTTGCCTCTGAAAAACAACAGGACCATCAGATTTAGCAAAGGAAAATGCCCAACATGCAGTTAAACTTGAATGTTAGGAGTATATACTATGCAATATTGGGGATATATTTCTATGAAAAATTGTTGCTTGGCTAAAATTCACGTTTACTCCATGCTTTGGTTTGAATAGCTCCCTCTATAAGCTAGGTGTGGTGTCAGTGTGGCAGTATTAGGAGCAGAGGTCTTTAGGACTGAGGAAGCCATGAGAGTACTCCTTCACGAGTGATGGAATCAAGGCTGTTATAAGACACTTGGAGGCAATGTGAAGTGAGTTTGCCTTGCGCCATGTTAGGATACAGTCCTAAGATGTACCAAAGAGACACCATCTTGGCCCCCAGCCCAACCTGCTTGTGTTTTGATCTTGGACTTCTAACCTGCTGAGGGAAATAAACATATTTATAAATATTTCTCAGTTCACAGTATTCTGTTCTAGCCACGCAAAGTACTCTTCTAATTTGCTGCTGCCATGAAACACCATGACCAAAAGGAACATGGGGGAGGAAAGAATAGATTTCATCTTACATTTCCAGGTTGAAATTCATCATTGAAAGAAATCTGGGCAGGTGTTTGGAGCAGAAACTGTTGGGGAATGATGCTTGCTGGCTTACTCTCTGGCTTATTCCCTGGCTCATGGTCATCTAGCTTTTTTCTATAGCATAGACCCATCTGCTAGGGATGATGTTGCAGAGGGTTAGGCCCTAAAACAATCATCACCTATACGTACCAGCACTTACTGAGCCTAGATTCCCTGAAATCATCAATCAAGACAACCTGTCACTGATACAGCCACGGTCACAGACCACTCTGATTCAAGCAATCTTACAAGTGACTCTAGGTTTTGTCAAGTTGAAAGTAAGAACTAAACAGAGCAGATGTCTTAACCTCATAGATGTAATCTTAGAGCAGTGCTCTTTTGTCCACCCTTCAGACACTAAGTCATAATATGTGGAAGTCACATGCTTAGACTTCCAGCAGAGCTGTGTATATCAGATGAACCTAGGCCCAGTCCCACTGTTTTAGTGGCTAGGTGAATGTACCTGGATCATTTAACCTCTATAAGCTTCCATTTCTCCTTAACAGAAAAAATCACAGCATCTAGCTTAGGGATGTATTGAGGGCTCAATGGAGTTACATACTATATGTCCAATCCCTAGTATTTTCCACTGTCAATAGCACAATTACTCTTATGATCTAGGTAGGACAGAGGCAAATCTCTGTGTGTTCTGCTCAATTTCAAGACTTTGGGTTACAGTAGCTCTGTGGACCCAGAAAGGAATTAAAAAGAGTGGTCTCAAGAAAAGAAATGGCCCAAGGGCAGTGGTTGCCAACCCTCAGTCTAGAGAGGCCCTTCTTTCAGTGCTCATCATAACCAATTGTTGAAAAGGCAGATTTGCTCCCTGATCCCTTTTCTGGAAAACATACTGAATGGAAGTCTGAGTTGTGAGTAAGGACAGTGGAGTCTTCTTTCAAGGGTGGTAGAAATTCACACATACAGGTACCATGTTTGGGTTCCCATAGTAACTCTAGACATTGGCATCACTGACATCTAAGGATTTGTAGCAATAGGGGCTACCCTGCGCCCTGGAGGGACACCTGCAGCATCCCATGTCTCTAAACTACTAGATTCTGGGAGCCTACCTTATCCTCTTTCACTATAGTGACAATCAAGAACATCTCCAAATGTGACCTGGGGAGTATAAATTGCCTTTGGTTGTGGACAACTGGTAGAGAAAATAATTTGGCAGTACAGATTCCAGACATGTTGACCAGCTGTCATGTATTGAACACTTAGAAATATTCTTTCCAATTCCAATACCCAGGTTAAGAGGTAGGCGTAACTTTGTACATCTCACAACTCGAGAGTTTGAGCTCAGAGGGTTCCCACAAACCTCCGAGCTGGTAGATCTGGAATCCTGATTGAGAGGTTGGTCTGACTCCAAAGCTGATACAGCTCCCACTTAACACTCTATTCTCCGGAAAATGAAGAGCTCCCTCCTGCTTTGAACTAGGAAAACTCATCTCCAGTTAATTCAAGTCTGAAAATACATATTGAGCTAGATGTCATGAGAAGCTGAAAGAGATATCTACAATGTTGCTCCCTTAGAGCCATTCCCAGTACCGATGTCATACATAAACACAATCCCATGAAAGAGCAATGTGAGGCATTTTGAGTTTAGGCCCAAATGAGCATTCCTTGAGATAGAACTTTGAACTGAATGTTCTTTGTATGTGCCAACTTCACATGCCCCTTTGCTGCCAGAGGGGACCATAATTTTAAAAGAAGCAATGAATCTTTGAAGTTCTTGGGTTCTACCAGCCTTGTGTCCTAATGAAGCATTAATTGTCTTGCCTTGTGGTGGGCTGTGTGTTGCTTCCAGATAAACACTGGGCCATCTTCTTTGTGGCTCTCTGCATAAAGTTCACCTTTCCCCGCTCCCTACGGATGGCGGTGTACTCATATGCTTTGAGCTTGCTGTAGTAATCGGAGAATTTGTTGTAGAGGATGGAAATGGGCATCCCATTGAGAATAATCCCGAAAGCGATGCAGAGGAAGGCAAAAAGCCTGCCCAGGTGGGTCTCTGGGTACATGTCTCCATAGCCCACAGTGGAAATGCTTACCTGTTTAAAAGAAAAGCAGGATGGAGCAATTAGCCTTAAGAAGGAAGAGGAAGGGAGAGAAGTCTGCAGGAAGCCTGTCACCCTGTATGTGCACAAGGGAACTGTTAAGAGCTCCCATGGAGCCAGCTTTCAGAGTCACATGAAGGACTGTGCCATGGAAGGAATGCAAGCTGTAGATCTGAAAGATGGGTTTAAATCCTGACAATGGCACACCTGTGTTTATATATGTAGCACAGGGAAATAAGAGCCACTTTAAAGAGCTGTGGGAACAAACTTTATGTAACATACCTTGAATTCCTGTCACAGAACATGTTTAGTAACTGTCTTTGCTTCCACACCTCTCTTCCAGGCTGTATTAGGACAGGGGGATCACCTGGATTCACCTTCATCATGAATGTCTGAGAAAAGGCTTGAATTCAGAAGGTACCAGAACAGTTCAAGTCCAGACTGACCCTTCCCATGTGGTAGATTTTGGGGGCATACATTGAGATGCTAGTACCATCTCTCAGAGGTCTAGTAGAGATGGACTATAAAAGCTACATATTAAGCAGTGGCCATGGCATCAGGCATCCTGGGCAATGAACACTCCACTGCCCTCCCCTCACCAAAGGAGACAATTATAACTTTGCTCAGGGCTGCTGTGTAGTTCAATTGTTTTTCAAAAGGAGATTCTTTAATTGTACACATCTAGAATCTAGAGAAACATACTCATTACTCTGTGAAGGGACCTTCAGAAGACCTCACAGAACAAAACTATGTTCACCCTTCATGAAATTCCTTTCATCATTCTTGTCACACTGTTTTAAATCCCACTAATTGGAGATTTATTTAGGTTAACAAGCTTCCTGTTTAAAATGCAGATTCCCATGGGACTAGTTATCACTTAGTATAGCCAGAGAAAACCCTGGGGAAGCCTCCTGGGGACTGTTTTTATGCCTCACGTGTTTCCATTGGTCCCCAGACTAAGTCACTAGAGGCCTCTGAAGCGGGGCTGCTGCTTACAGTAGTAAAAACTTCCCATTGCCAACTCCAGGGGTGCTCGTTGCTCCCAGGATTTGTGTGATGGCTGTCCCAATCTTCCAACAGATGGCAGTAATTATACAAAGTCACTCCCTTTCCACACTGAGATGGCCTTTGGCTCAGAAATGTAAGCATGCTTGTGTTGATGACGCAAGGGTTAGTTTGAACTTTCAAATGTGGTCGATTGATTAGAATGAAATGGAGAATGAGCCAGCTGGGCAAAGCTGGTGGCAATGATAAGAGGCATAGATCCATCCAGCCCACAGAAAGGGAAAGGTGTGCCTCCCAGGAAGGGCAGGCCCCAAGACTCGCTGCTCCAGATCCATGTAGAGAACTTCCTTTTCCCATGGTAGTAGAACTCAAGCAAGCATGACAGAGACAGGAGGGCATAGACAGGGTTAAAGAAATAAGGACCACATTTGACTTCCTGGGTCCAAACCTACTTCACAGTTGTGTGAGTTTTGGGCAAAGCAGATAAATTCTCTCTGCCTTAGTTTCTATTTTTGACATATGGAGATAATAATAGTACTCACTTTACATGATTGTAATAGGAATCTCACTAAGTAGCTCTGGTTGTTCTGGAACTCACTATGTGGAACAGGTTTGCCTAGAACTCACAGAAATCCGCTGGCCTCCGTCTCCCAAATTTGGGGATTAAAGGTATATTCCACTATGTCCAGTTTGTAATCTTGTTCTTGTCCCTTGCTTCTGGGGGTAGGATTTAGGATTTCTTGCCTTAGGGAAGTTTCTGTACATTA